ATGCCGGCTCTAATTTTTTTTTTTGGTAAAAGTAATACCCTGAATTATGTCACATTTGATTTTACTTAAAATCCACGCCAGCTTAGGCTAGTTTTTGGCGCTAAGCTACACGATGAGCTTGTCTGCACTAAGTCCATCGTGAGGAATCGAACCCGGATATTAGCGCTGAAGTTTGTAAGCATGTAAACTTACTGCTGACTCAGCAGTGGACCATTGGCTTAGTAAATAATGATTGGATCAATGTATTTTCAGTCTTATTATGATGTCTTTTCACACACATCTATTATCCATTGTCAGATAAAGGGATTGTGAAAACACCGAGTATAAAGTTCTTTGTTGCGATATTACAATGTTTCTGTTTTTAATTATTTTTCTTTCCTGTGTTTCTTTCTTTATTATTTATGTGTGTATATTATTTATATTAATCTATATTTTTTTCTCTCTATTTCTTTTTTAATGTTTTAAATTTTTTAAACGTTTTTTTAAAATTTAAAAAAATTGTTTAATGTTTTTTTAAAATTTTAATTTTTTGACCTTTTTTGTATACTTACATTAGTGATTTTTTAATATTTATTTTTCCGTGTAACCTTAGAAATCTATGTTTGTTATTGATCATGTATGTGCTACTAATGAATTTGTTACGCTTGTTATTTATTACTACGGTTTCTTTAGTTTGAGATGCACTGTACAGTATGATGACGATACTAATTCAAACACTTGAAGCCTAGTTTTACGCAAAATGTGTGTAGTGGATGTATAGAAGGTAGTGACTAGACTCTTACAATGAATACAATGATGACGACGACAACGTCGACTTTAATGATCACTAGTGTAGTCTGGGCCAGTGGGGTGATAACCTGGTTACACAGTTCCAGTGCTACAGACAAACCTACTGTAATATCTTTCAATATATCATCCTGATTTCTGAGTATTTGCCCGAGCAGTTTTAGGCTCCCAATCCGTCCCTGCCCAGAGCCGTAGCTAGGATAGAGCGGGAGAGGCACAGTCCGAGCGCTAAACCTATTATTTAATAATTTATGCAGAACTATACAGACTGGAGGGGAAATAGAAAACTTATCATCCGAATTAAGTAAGATAACCTGCTCTATTTAGTATGGTATAGTACTTAAGTTCCCGCCTTCACTCCTTATTCCTCAACTATGTCATCTTGTTCTTAAGGTATAATATATATCATAATAATTTTTATATTTTCTAGTGTTTTGATATTTACCATCTCATTTAGCTACACGCTTCTATCTATGTGTCGAGGAAAGGAGAAATAGTATATCCAATGTTCCGGGACATCCTAAAATTCTGCTGGCTAACAAACTATTACGACAGCGGAAAACATGCGACGCTGGGAGCATGTGCGCTGGAATTTCTAGAAGGATCATGAATTTTCTTGGTAACTATAGTTTGTTCCAGGCGCCCTCTTTTTTAGTATATAAGACGGGCAAATAAAGCCAGCAAAAAGGGAGATAGAATTGCATAGAGAGGCAGACGTATGTAAAGTGTGTGAATCACTGTGATTTATAGCATGTGTTATAAAAGTTGTATCGAGAAATAATAAACTAGTTTTAATTAAGAAAGGACTTGTATCGCTGAAGTTCCTCGGAAAGAATTTTTACCGGAAATTAAAGAAATTATCAAACGAGCAGAGACGAAACAAATTGGTGTCAGAAAGTGGGACTGAAAAGGAAAAAAAAGATGGAAACGAGAAGTGGCAAATCAAACTACAGCTTAGCAGATTTGATG